GTGTAATGAGAAGGGTACACATATTTTATACACTGGTAGTTCAGATCTGTGAGTTGTCTTATGTTAATTTAATACCTAGCTAGACTCTGCATTTGGGAAGCCTTTTTCTAAGGATAAGCCTACCTTTTAATAAAACAGAACAGGAATGGGATGGTAAAAAGTATCTTACTTGGTAACTAAGGTACTGCAAGTGTACTGTCAAAATCTGAGTTTTTAAATCACTTCTAGCTGAAAGACCTTAGTTAAAAGTAGCAGCATATAAATAAAGTGAACAAAGCATTTTTCATTTATGAGATCTCATTGTTCTTCTGTACTGTCCAGTGGAATTGGGTTAAAGCTGCAGTAAAGCTAAAATGCCGATCCAAATTGAAGTTCAGACCAATAGTATCAGCAAAGATGTCAATATTAATTTTAAAACTATGTTTAAGAGTAGTGCTGACTATATCACTTCTTAGTTTATATGCAGTGCTGATAAATGAAAGAAAAGAAGGTCTTATATCAGAATGTCATACAGCAAAACATTTTCAGTAAGCAAGAACTCGTTAGCCTTACCATGGATTTGATTAGAACTTTACTCGGCAAAACCAGTTCCTTATTGTAAAAATCCAATTGCCCAACTGTTTTGGGAAACTTCCAGGGGGAAGGGGGGAGTAGGGGTGGCAGTAGTATTTAATTGGCTGTAGGAACTGTCTCCTACTTTCCTGTGGTTATCCAAACATACTTGTCTATTTTCACCCTTTAGACAAAGTTAAAATCTGAAACCTAAATCTCAGTGTATTTTGTTCTTATTATTATTGCTTATACTTTCATGGAGGAGTCTTCTGGCTCCTTCTGAAAAAGATTACTAAGAAAGCAATGATAATTGTTACATAATTGTAAGATTAAATAGGAAAAAGCTATTGATAACAGCAGTAGATAAATAGGAAGTGTTAAAGCTTTTAAAGGCTTATTCTAATGCAATTTGAACATAGTAACATGGGAAACTTATAATTTTGGATTCAAGCTATCACATTTAAATAAATATACTCTCCCTTCCCTCCCTTTCCCTTATAGGCAAAAATGTTGTTCATCAGTTGTCGATAAGCTTAGAAGATCTGTATAATGGTGCAACAAGAAAGCTGGCTTTGCAGAAGAATGTGATCTGTGACAAATGCGAAGGTAATTTAAACACTAAAACTAGACATTAGTTATTTCTGAAGCTCCAAATGTATTTTGACCTTCTGGTTTCTTCTGGAAATATAACTGTTTGATTTTTCACTCTGTCGTCAGGTCGTGGTGGTAAGAAGGGTGCAATAGAATGCTGTCCTAATTGCAGAGGCACAGGCATGCAAATCAGAATTCACCAGATTGGTCCAGGAATGGTGCAACAGATTCAGTCTGTATGTATGGAGTGTCAGGGGCATGGGGAGCGTATTAGCCCCAAGGACCGGTGCAAGAGCTGCACTGGCAGAAAAATTGTTAGAGAGAAGAAGATTCTAGAAGTTCACATTGACAAAGGTAAGGGTTTTACTAACTTGGAGTATTATATTTAAATAGATTGTCATTGGGGCTGGTGGTTTGTGGGGTTTTTTTAGCACTAAAACAGGAGTTTCGCGCATGGTGTTGATCCCTCGTTATAATGAGTAACAGTTGGATATGCAATTCAGTACAATAGCCTGTTCCTACTCTTTAAAGGTAGACTTGCCTTTAAGCAAGAGTGATTACTTGTGTATTAGTGCCCGCTTACTATATACATTACTAAGTGTTAATCCCAAAGCTTGTAATGATGCAAGTAGTAAACTAATCTCCATAAGAGCAGGTTCAGAAGTAAAAATGCTGACCAGTTAATTGGATTGATAAAAAATCAAATACATCACTTTTAGCTTATTAAGCAAGTTTAACTATTATCTTGACATTTTGGAGACCCTACAGAATCTGATCACTTTTATGGCATTTTACTGTGAAGGGGAGGACCAGGTCTTCTGAAGTGTGAAGACATTGCTAAGCCTATAATGCTTAGAATTTATTTTGTTATGTCACCCTGATGACATTGTGTCCTTTATGTCTGGCAAAACTTAATTCAGAATTTAAATCCCCAGAATGATAAGGGAATGTGAGGCGATTTAGCAACAAACACTTTTCTTCACAGTAGGCTGCTCAAAAGTAGGTGGGAGCGGTCTTTGGAGGAGTTGGAGTTGAAAGATAAAATGCGTTGGCAAGCATGTGGCTTACAATAGACTCGTACCTAACAGTAATGAGTAACTGTTTTGCATCTCTACTTAAGCGTGCTTTATGTAATGTCTCATCTTTAAGAGGAGGAATATGATAGGAACACTAAACTTGAAGCTTGGCAAGAGTATATCACTGATATTTTTAAACACCGTTTTAAAAGTTACTGAAAAGAGCAAAATTTTGACTATTGTAGTCATCCCGGTTTTCTACCAGGTAGCATGAGGCTGCTAGAATTAATAGTGCAATAACCCTTCTGTAGGTGAAGTTGCTTTCTTGAGTGACAGTCACGCTGCTAGGAAGAGTGCTTCCTAAACTGAAGGCATTGAGATCTTTTCTCTCAAGTAGTTCTGCTACAGACTTAAGAGACTTATCAGCTTCTTAAAGCAAGCTTTGTGTGCAGCGTTTCTTCTACGCCTCTTCTGTAGTGGTTGTGCATATGACAGAAGCCATCTTGATAATAGTTCCCTCAAGGATTTTTATCTTGGCAGGTGACTAATTTCTACTAGAATGGGATTTCATGCTTATGAAACGTAGCTCAAGTTGGCAGTACTAACATGTTTTGGAAAGATAAGTTGGTAAGATACTTGCTTCAAGCAAAGGTCCTAATGTTGCAATCTCAAGGTTCAGTAATATCCTAAGTACAAGCTAGTGCCTATTAAAATATTTCACATTGTTACATTTGAGAGGAAAGAAAAAAGAAAAAGCTGAAATATGTGGTCTCTGCAATAGGAATGAAGGATGGTCAGAAAATAACATTCCATGGTGAAGGGGACCAAGAGCCAGGACTAGAGCCAGGGGACATAATTATCGTCTTAGATCAAAAAGATCACCCTACGCTTACAAGGTAAACTCCATGAGTCTTTATGCATGCTCCTGAGATGCTTGTCTTCAAGCTTCCTCTGTTACCACTGGCTGTTTTTAGTAACTGGAAATGTTGTCAGATAGGACTATATGTCTAGAGCTCACTTGTGAGTCGGTTTGGGCTGTCAGATATTGACATATTTATAGAAGTACTGGTAGAACTAGTCAAAGCAGTTGGTGCTCTAAACGTACAAGATTTGTGGTTATATGGTTTATTTTTTGGGTTGTTTGGAGTGAGTTTTTTTCTTTCTCTGAGGGTGGGAGAGGAAGTAAGACAAACCTAAGGGAGTTATGGATATTGGGAATTCACAAACTTCTAAGGACTACCAATGTTGGAAAATAATTGTTTCTTAATAACTGTGAATATCTTTAGCAGTTGTTGTCTTACTAATTCCTTGTTCTTGCCTCCTTCTGTGAAAGTCTTACAACACCAAACTCTGATCTAGCATAGGCAACTGCTTGTTATGTAGTTTCTTTTGCCTTGAAGCCAAGCTTCAGTGCTTGTGCTATTTCTCAGGATCCTGTTTATGGCCGCATTATGGTCAGAAGTGTGCATCCTATATGCATAATATCAAGGTGATCTGCCTCCTATGTGTTTTCCTTGCCTGAATGCATTGGGTAACATGAGGAATGGAGAGGACTGATAATTTGCAGAAGTGGAACTGAACTGAGTAGTGTCAACTATGTTAGTCAAGTACTTCACATTGCCTAACAATGTTGCTTTGTGTTAAAGTCCATTGTTTCAAGTTACTTTGTGGAATGAGTCTGTCATGTAGTAGCTTCTCTTCTGGAAAAAGCAGAACTTTGGCCACCTCTAGAAGATGAGCAGTAGGTACCAAGTGCAACTAACTGCTGCTCAGAGCATTCATGAGGGGAACAATGGGTTGGTCTCTTAACGTGGGGGCACTTAGTCTAACAGCTCATCCCTTTGTCCCAGTAAGTAGAAATGACAGGTCAAAGGCTCTAGTGTAGCCTGTAGTCAATCCGATCAGCAGTCTTGTATGGTGCTTAACTCCAGAAGCTGGTGCCAAAACTTTGTGCTGAGGCAGGACAGATGGAATACTACTGTTAGCAGCTTCCAGCATCGAGCTCACAGATTAAAGAATCGGAACCTTCATGGCATTTGGCAGGCTAGTGATGAGCAATTTTCTCTACCCAGCTTCCAGTGAAACCAGGTGATGAATCAGTTGTGTCAAAGGGTATGTCTGGTCCATGCATTTATTATGTTACCTGGGACTTGAAGTTCTGACTGTACTGGAGTGTTGATGTCCATCCCCCTGCACTGGCTTCAGCTTTAACGTCCTTAGATGTTCCTTGATATCAGTAGCTTTGTGGGGTTATGCTGAGGTAATGCCGCTTCTGGAGCAGATGGAATGTACCTCCTGTCCCTTCAGGGTCTAAAACTTTCCAGGCAAGTCTCTTTCCAGACACCTTTAAATTCATCCTTTTTAACAGGTCCAAGTCCTTTTAATAGGTTTGAGGTGCCCTTAAACTAACCAACTCCTGAACATCCCAGCACATGCAGACATCATTTGTGCTGACTTTAATGTAATTTCTTTAATTCTCAGTTCTGACTTAACTAGATGCATCCTGGTTTCATCTAGAAGCTCCTTTCAGAGTGACTCAGAGTTGCTTTCTAAACTTCCTTACCACCAGACCTTCAGAGGGAGTGTAGGAGACTCTGAAGGAGGCAACTGAGGCATAGGAGAGATGATTCCCTTACAGACTTCTTTCAGTCCTGTCTTAAAACCTAGCTGGTTGTTACTAGATATATTTTGTTGTTTAGTTGGTAGTAGGTGTTGCAGTTACTACCTTATGACAATTTCAAGCCTCTGGCTTTACACTGCTCATAAAGCTAAGTCCTATTTTGTTCTTGTGATTCCATTTGGAAGGCTCTTTGAGGATGCTGATACCTAAATATATTCAAGTTAAATATCAAGCTTAACTTCTTGCAACTAACTTGTACCTGCCTGTGTACATCAATGTATACAATAAATGTATACAACTGTCTTCCTTAATATTTATACTACAGTATCTATAAGCAATTGCATTCACCCCATTTTGCAAATCAAGCTCTTCTAGTGTTGAGGAGGGAGTTTTACTTGAGTTGTCATCTAATGTAGCTGAACAGAAATGTATGAGACTTGGAATTTTGCTACCATCTTGTTCAGTGGCACAAATACTTTCCTATTTCTGCTGGAAATAATTTTTGTGACTGGAACACTTGACCTAGTAATTTCATTGCTACCTTTACGCTTAATCATCTCCATCGGAGCTTGCTGCATATATTAAGGTTTTAGTCTTCATGTGACCTAGAATTTTGTATTGATAAATCCCCAGTTGGGCATCAGCCTTCAAGGCCAACTGGTTAACTAACTTCTTGCTCCATATCTTTGTTTACTGTAGTCCAGATGAGAATACTGTCCCACAGCTATCTTAATTTAAAAATCATTGCAAAGTATTTAGCATCTAAGGTACATATGGACATGAAATGAAATACAGGAAATTCCACTTAAAAAGAAACTTTTTTTTACTTGGGAGTGGTGGTGTCAAACACCGGAATGGATTGCCCAGAAAATCTGTGGGGTTTCCATCCTTATAGTTATTCAAAACCCGACTGGACATGGCCCTGACCAACCTGCTCTAGTTGACCCTGCTTTGAGCAGGGGGGTTGGACTAGAGACCTCCAAAGGGCCCCTTCCAACCTCACCTATTCCATGATTCTTTGATAGTTTATCCAGCTGCATTTAAAAGGCCCCCTTACTTACAACACAGGATTGAGTGTTCTTAAGTGTTCAGGCTGTCCCCTTCTCCATGTTAAAATTTCTCTTTTTAAACTGATTAGTGAAGTCAAGAGTTGTTTCTGACGTCTCTTGAAATAAAAGTTTAGTTCTGAGCTCCCTGTGTTTTGTTTTCAGTCTCACTAAAATTACTGTATCTACTTCATCTACAGTAACCTTCAGGTTATTATTTTTAATAGCAGAAATTATTAACTCTTTGTTTGGCTGAATTGTTTCAAATTAAGATTTCTTTAAGCAGAAATGCTCAAGCTTTCACACTTGCAGTGGTGCTTACTGCAGACTAGGGAGATCCAGGTGATCCATTGAATTCCTAAAATGGCATTGAATGAAATTCTTCAGCAAAGGGTTTTTGAATATACTAAACCACTGAGGAGTGGAAGGGAATATTACATGGATAAATGACTGGATAAGAAGTAGGAAACCAGGTAAGAATATAATTCCGTCTGATAAAGAAACGTGATGGGACCCCGAATGAGTCCTAAAAAGAGCTGCACTGGGGAACCTTTAATTTCATTTAAACTCTGAGGCGGTGACTTGTTGATGATACAGAACTTTTTACAGGGTAAGGAAGATGGAAGTTGGTTAGAGTTGCAGAATGATTGCATGATATAATGCAACAAACATGACAATTTAAGTTGAATGTTAAATGTAAAATGAAGTGCATAAACTTAAATACTTGCACAATAGTGGGATCTCAGCAGTACCAAAATGTTGGTTGTAACAGATCTATGAATAGATCATCTCAATGCTAAGAAGCAAGTAAAATGTTAGGAATTCCAGGGGGGGGACATGGGACGACGACAACAAAGCCCATTGCTGTATATATAAAATCTGTGGTGTGACTGCACCTTGAATACTGCATGTAATGCAGATTTTACATTGTAAAGTGTGGTGGGTTGACCCCAGCCAGCAGCCAAGCACCCACAGAGTTGCTTGCTTACTCCCCTCCCCCCGCATCCTGAGGGAGAGAATAGGAAGAGCAAAAGCAAGAAAACTTGTGGTTCAAGATAAAGATAGTTTAATAGGTGAAAGTAAGTCACAAATCTAAAATGCAGCACCGCATGGTCTGCTATGAAGAAAGTTATCTCCATCCCAGTCAAACCCAGTACACAAAGATACAGTAGAACTGGAGAATCTTAAAGAAGGGTAATGAGGAAAAGATAGAATAGCTTCTGTGTGGAGAGTGATTTTTTATTTATTTATTTTTTTTTTAAGTAGATCCTTCCTTGTAGAAAAGAGGGGAGGAAGAAAGAGGGAGAATTTGTGTAGGACCAACTGTTGTCCGTCTCTTAGTATCACTTGAGATATTACAGTTACTATTACCAACAGGACAAGAGGCAGTGGGCACAAACTTAAGCGCAGGAGGTTCTGTCTGAATGTAAGGAAACACTTTTTCACTGTGAGGGTGACCAAGCATTGGAACAGGTTGCCCAGAGAGGTCATGGAATCTCCCTCCTTGGAGATATTCAAAAGCTGTCTGGACATGGTCCTGGGCAGCCTGCTCCAGGTGACTCTGCTTGAGCAGAGGAGCCGGACCAGGTGACCTCCAGAGGTTCCTTCCAACCTCAACCGTTCTGTGGTTCTGTGAGGTTCAGAACTGGAAGTGACGCTTTGTATGTGGTTATGGAAATCTTTGGCATAAGATGCTGTCAATGGTTGATAGCCATCAATAGATTTCATGAAAGGGAGGGAAAAAATAAAACTACACTTCCAGGTTAAAGTCCTTGAGATGTCCTGATAAGGGCTGGAAGCTGAGTGTATTCTGGGGCAGTGTTGTGTGCTTGCCTTGCTCTTGTACTCTTCCCTAGGCATCTGCTCTTTAAGTGAGGATATTTAAATTAGTCAAAGATCAGCTTTACCAGATTAGGGCAGCAGCCTGATCTCAGGGAAGTTGGTCTCCCCTAATGATGTAACTAAGTAGAAGGAAGAAGAAGGTACAAAATCATATTAGATCCCTAGTGTTGCCCACAACATCTGAAAGCCAGAAATTATGTTGGAGAAGAATAAAACAGATTGATTAAAACAGTGTTGCTGCGTCTTGTTTCTTTAGATGATTGTGCTAATATATGACAGTATTGTGCAAATTTTTGTCCAATTTGGACAATGCTAAAGAAGGGATTAATTGTCCCAGCAGTAGAAGTTTGGAGGCTGAGACAAACCTTTTCCCAGAAGGGGGAAAGCATAGTGAAATGAAACTGAATGCTGTTGAGTGTGATATGGTTTGGGGGGGTTAGCTTTTGAATAACTGTCCTTGAGTAGTAAATGGCTCTTATCACAGGTATTATCCCTGAAGTAGTTGGTTTAGTTAATAGTTAATGTTCTCTATTTTACTGGTCAGGCTTCTTAGTATTAAGATTCCAACTTTATTGTCTTTACCAAATTTAATACCTGAGTTAGGCATGGTCCTTCTCGCTCTTCCTATTCCCACACCCCTGACTATTGTTGCTTGGTTCTACCATAGGCAAGGGGAAGACCTTGTTATGTGCATGGATATACAGCTGGTTGAAGCACTGTGTGGCTTTCAAAAGCCTATCACAACACTGGATAATAGAACTATAATTATTACTTCTCATCCTGGTAAGTGTTGGTTTGCTTTGTGCTAAAAAAATCTGTACGTCCAGCAAATGTAAGCTGAAAAGCAAGCAATTAGCATAGGGGAGCAGAAAGGATTGATCCTTAAAATACTACTTCTTCCTCACCCCACCCCCCACCCCCAAGTCTTTACAGCAGAGAGCTTTAAACAAATAAAAGTTTTCCTTAGTGGGCAACAGTAACTACATGTTTCTTCGTATGACACAGTAACAAACTTTACTTCATGGATGTGCTGATATCCTGAGGATACTCAAGGTCTCTGAAGATAAATTTTTCAGACTTGGAACTCATGGAATACTTGACATTCATAGGTATGCTCCCTTTGAGAAGCATACAAAATGGTAGAATATAGCATAGATGTGTACCTGTTCTCCTACACAAAAGCTATGGGGCAGTAGGTCCCTATTAGACTACAGGATATCAGTATAGTTGTTGAAACACAGCTTACAAGGCTGCACAAATGCATACTGAAAGGAATTTAAACTAAAATTGCTTGTTTTGCCTGCCTGGATTTTTTTTCTTATTTTTTTATTTACTTAAGGCCAGACTGTCAAACATGGGGATATTAAATGTGTGCTGAATGAAGGCATGCCAGTATATCGTAGGCCATACGAAAAAGGACGTCTAATCATAGAGTTCAAGGTAAGCGAATCAGCTTCCATGATACAGCTTAACACTGAACATGCAAAACTTCAACCTTAAGTAATAACTCAAGCAAGAAGAGACGCTAATCAAGTGTCTTGTTTAGTGCGTTTCTTGCAGTGTGGTCAGATAACCTAATGCAATGCACAAGGCTACAGACTGAAGGTATCCAATTCTTTCTTGTACTGGTTTTGGCTGGGATAGAGTTAATTTTCTTCATAGTAGCCTGTATGGGGCTGTGTTTTGGATTTGTGCTGAAAACAGTGTTGATAATACAGGGATGTTTTCGTTATTGCTGAGCGGTGCTTACACAGAGTCAAGGCCTTTTTTGCTTCTCTCACTGCCCCACCAGCAAGTGTAGGGTGGGGGTGCCCGAGAACTTGGGAGGGGACACGGCCAGGACAGCTGACCCCAACTGACAAAAGGGATATTCCATACTATATGATGTCATGCTCAGCAATAAAAGCTAGGGGGAAGAAGGAGGAAGGGGGGGGACGTTCGGAGTTATGGCGTTTGTCTTCCCAAGTAACCATTATGCGTGCTGAGGCCCTGCTTTCCTGGAAATGGCTAAACGCCTGCCTGCCGATGGGAAATTGTGAACAAATTCCTTATTTTGCTTTGCTTGCGCACGCAGTTTTTGCTTTACTTATTAAACTATCCTTATCTCAACCCACAAGTTCTTTCACTTTTAATCTTCCGATTCTCTCTCCCATCCCTCTGAGTGTGGGGGAGTGAGTTAGTGGCTGTGTGGTGCTTAGCTGCTGGCCGGGGTTAAATCGCGACATTTCTAAATAGCTCTTTACTGAAAATATACTAAGTACTGAAATAACTTGTTTGGATATCCTGTGAATTTTCATGTTTGACATGTTTTTTGGCCTCCAACGTGTCTTAGGAAGAACTGAAATATAACTGACCTTGTATTGGAACAAGGGGATCAGCTAGTCAATTGTAATTGCTGAAGAGTTTCATTAGTACTGATGGGAGGGGAATCCGGGTAATCTCTAACTGCTATGTCCCCCTACTCTGGCTTTAGCTGAGGATATCTTTTAGCCCTTTCAACATGGCAGTCTGGGGCAGAAAAAAGACTGAACTAGCCAAGACAGTGAAGTTGCCAAATATAGTAGAAATGCACTTTTGGCAGCTGTGAAAGACTGGCAAGTGACCTAATTATTTCCTTAGCAATGGGTTTTCAAGTCTTCTGTAATTATAAAGCTGATGCTGGCAGATAATTGATCTGTAGTAAGTGAGATAGAGGCCAGTTAAAGCCAAATTCAGTAAGTGCAGCTCTTTATTTCAGGTGAACTTCCCAGGTAGTGGCTTCTTCTCCTCAGATAAGTTGTATTTGCTGGAAAAACTGCTACCTGCAAGGCAGGAAGTAGAAGAAACTGAGGAAATGGAACAAGTGGATTTAATGGACTTTGATCCAGCTCAAGACAGAAGACATTGCTATAATGGAGAAGCCTATGAAGATGATGAGCATCACCCTGGAGGTGGTGTTGAATGTCAGACTTCTTAAAAGGGACAGTTAATAACCACTGTGATGCCACTTTTATATGTGTCAGTAGACAAGTGAAGGACTACAGGTGATTCACCCTCACTTCCTGATATATTTTTTTTGTTGTTGCTGTTAAATTCAGCTATAGTTCATTCTAAAAGCATAAATAAATTAAGGTGGTAATGTGAAAAATGACTTTGCAATTTGTATAAAGCTCCAGAATGCAAGTGCAGATCAAGTTGATCACAAACACTGTCTGTCAGACAAGCAGTCTGGAATAGTTTTCTTGACTAAATCTGCAATTCTTTTATCTGTGTTCAAGTGCCTGGTCTGTAGTGTTCTTGATGCTCTGCAGAGCTGCAGTTTACTGAAGGATGCACAAGTACTTCTAATATAATAGAATATTATCAAGATATATCTACCGTTTTTGGATTTGCACTGCTGTTTGTCAAATCAGAACTTGCTCTATAATGCAAATGTGTAATATGTGAACCTGACACAAATTTGTTTAATTTTTTTCACGTCCATTAAACTTGTGTGATTTACCAGTTTATTTAAGAATTAATGGTTTCTTGGTCTGCCAGCTTTAGTCCTGATGGAGTGAGCTAGTCCTAAAACTTTTTGTTTCTAACCAGCTGCTACTTAAATATTGTTCTGTGCTATGCTGTGTATAGCCAATGTAGGTTGTTCATGACTAAAATACAGAATCTGTGTTGACCTACTGCCATGTGAAGCTTGACTTCCACCTTCATTATTGAAATCATGTAATCTATAGTGATGTGTTAAGTAAAGCAGTAGCAGATGAGGTCATAGGAATAGGTGAGCCTGTAGAGGAGAAAAGCAGAGAGGTATTATTTTAACTTGGTTCTGTCTGAATGTTCTAATCATTGTAGATGAAAAATTTCAATGTAATTCTAACATTTTTCAATGTTGCTTTTCTTAGACCAGTTTTCAGTTTAAGAAAACTCAGTTCTAGACTGCTAATCCTAGTACAAATATGCTATTTTATAGACCATGCTGAGAAGACTGGTCCAGTCTTAACCTCAAGCACAGTAGTTTAGTCCTGGTCTACCATCGGTCCTGGGAAGCAGTGTCTGCTTTCCTGTTATAATGCTTCCCTCCCCTTTGAGAATCCCTGAAAATTGGGAAAAATGGGTTAGTCAGGAAAGGAGCTCTTGGAGCAGGCTCCTTGGGCTAGTTCTTCCCATAAGTGTTACGGCCTTTATTTTATGAAGGCAACTATTTACATGATCCTTGTCTCAAGTGGAATTATTATTTTGGGTTCTTACAGATTAGAGGTCAAAATATAAATGAGTTCAAAAGAACTCTGCATATTCCACCTGGTCGGAATGAAATTTTGCAAGCCAAATTCCTTTTCCAAATTACCATTGATGAGTTTATAGTCAGCTACGCCCATGTGACTGATAGGAGCATTTGCCTTATCAGTGGGACAATTCTCTTCAGGCAGGGGAAGGAATAGAATGCAATTTCTAGCTCTTGGACTTGCTACATTGAAAATCTTGTTTATGGCTAAAGAGGAAGCACAACTTTTATTTTCATATATTTATATATATTGTTTTTATATATGTTTAATATATAACATATTTTTATTTAAATTATGTGAATGTAATAACTTATTTTTAGTATCATGGAAATCTTAACAGTCTAATTGAACCATTATCATTAGTCTAGATCTAATTATTACTGGGAAAAAAACAGAGAATAATAATGCAGCTAGAGTACTTATGTAGGAAAAAGTTGTAATAATAGAATTAAGTGCAACACACACACACATACACACAGTTTCTACACCTCTTCTTGGTGTTATGCTTACCCTTTCACTGCTTCTCTGAGCCCTAAGGTCAGATGCTGGTGTTGCTGGTGGGAGGGGGGTGTTACAGCGAGTTGTCAGCAGCTGGAGTCCTTTGCAAGGAGAAATATGATGTTCATGTTGATGGTTTCTTCTTCCTCCCTCTAGTATCCCCTCATGGTCACTTTTATACATTTGCTAACATGTTTTTATACCCTACTCCTTCATTGCTCTGCAGCTCCAGGTTACATCTAAAATTACTATATATCTTGACACTTATATATGTTAGATATTATTTCTTTGTTCTCTTTGTTACCCCTGAAGCTAGTTTTGTCCAGCTCCAGGTCTGCAGGTTTTTTAAGTGACCATGGGTGAGTTGTTTATAGCTGTGGGATCTCCAGTGCCAGCATGTGCCCCGTGTTTTATCATCCCATGCGTGTATACCTCTACAACCGCATCCTCTGTCTCCACTTCTTGGAGGCCTCTGCTGTCATACTAGGCCTATATTTCTCTACATCATTGTGTTAGTTGTAAATATCTCATTCTATCTAGAACAACTGCTTCTTATTGCTATCTATATAAAACTATGGTTGCATCACACAAAGATAAAAGTAAAACAACTTGGTCAATTAGAGAAATGGCTGTCACAGCTAAACTAAGGGAAAAAAAAGCTGCAGCCAGGTCAAGAAAATTTCAGACAGAGGAGGCCTGACACACCTGTCCTGAGGCCTTGCAAACTCAGTATAAAGCTTATGGCCTGTTACTAGCAATAGCAATACTGTATTACAGGGCTACATGGTTACAGACTTAAGCTAAAAATGCTTTGGAAAAGTGCCTCAACCCAGATATGCAAACTCATTTTAGTAAATGCCATAAATGTGAAAACTTAGTACCTAGCCTGTGCCCATACTGCTATGTGAGTCATACTCAAGTCAGGAGATAAGGTGTTAATCCTACTGCCCTAATGACTTGTGTCAACAGTGCTAACTTTGCTACTTGCAGCTTGGAAAAAGCATTGACCCCATAGGTTGCCTGGACACACCAAGAGCCTTGTAATCTACAAGGGCTGCTTGGACAACTTGAGCTGTCTACCAGCAACAGCTGCTGCTGCAGAAACAGCTACATCCTCTACCCTCAGTATGTCAGGAGGGGGAAGGCTATGAATTGGTCTACTGGAGGCCTAAGGACTTCAACCAATCCTGATACTGAGAAATTAATGAGACATGGGTCTGCATCAGAGTATGAGAGCCATATTTAAGAGCATCACCTTTTGTCCTAGGCCTCCAAAACCCCCTTTAATGTCTGAACTGTGATCTGCTCGTAATTAAGTGACAGCAACCTGGTGATCAGCCACCTCGCCTCCTAACGACAAAACAGTGACCCCAATGATGGCACAGTCAGGCCACTAACTGTGACATCTGTGCATGTCACCACATCTTCCAATGGAAGTGGAACCAATAGGAATTTGTTACTAGTGGGATGCTATTGTTACTAGTCACAAGAAGCTAGTGACACATTTCTACTGCTTTCTGTTTCATGATGTCCCTGAACTTCAGTAAAGGTTTTCTTTCTGACCTCATGAGGGCTTAATCTACTTTAGAAGCTGTTTGTAAAGGAGTTGTTCTGTAAGCAATTACTCAGATTTCTGTGCAAGTCATCCCTCAGTTTCTAATAGGATGTAGAGAAATTGGCTGATGGCTTGGTTTTGGGTTTTGTGTGTGTGTGTGTGTGTGTGTGTTTTTCTCCTTTGCAGGTAGTAAGATGGTTATGGTGTCAGAGCAGGATTGTACTTGATAACAGTGGGCACATACGTGCTACTTAGGTAGGGGTATTTCCCTAGGAACATAAAAAAGCAAGTTAAGCCCATTCTTGCACAACTGTACAGAAACCTGAGATTGTATATTTTTTGCTGCAGGGGACTATAGTTCTTGCACATTCATTTTGCGCGTGTAGATAGATAGGCTGTTGACACACAAGCCAGGCTGAAATTCATTAGTTCCTACTGCAGAAGTAGGAGGATTAAATCACTATGTAATATGCTGGAACTGACAAACAAGACTTTAATTAAATGGTGCCCCTCATGCACATTTCCTGTGCCTGTAGATAGGACACAGCTAGCTATTTTCAGTAGAGCCAATTCATGAATAAAGTAATTCACATGGGCCAACAGTGTACAATACCTTTTAAATGTTAATTAAAGCACTAAATTGAGCCGCCTTCAACTCTTACAGGTAAAACTGCGTGGTATATGGAAGACTTGCCAGGGGTAAAACTTCTTCCTAGATTATATAAGAAATTTAGTAACATTTTCCAAAATAGTATTGTAATTGTGTTGAATGCCAACAATTTTACAACTTACAACTCTAGCTAAGAAGATAAAGATTTTTATGGTATTATGGTAAATGTTAGTACTGTTCAGGGATGTTATAGGCAGCCACCACCTCCAGGAGCTCTAGGGCCTGGGGATTCCTCCTGTCTAGATGCTGGAGCCCAGCCTGGGGGCCTGGGGTCTCTGCCCAGACTGAGGGACGTGGCTGCCGCTTTCCTATTTGCAGGTTCAACCAGTAGTGAAGCTGAGCACGTACCCCAGAGACACACGCATCCAGACACTGACATGGCTGGCTACAAAGACTGCCAGAGACAAGTCACTGCCTTCAACAGCACCTACATATAGGACTCACATAAACCACATAACACACACAGCCAACTCCCCTTCTTCTTTGGCTGGCAGAAACAGGTCACTAGTGAAGGCACACACATGACACTTTCTAGATTCACAAGCACACACATGTTTGTGGATCCCCAGAGTACTGGCAAGGCCTCTCTGTTCATCTGATATCCCTGCCTGTATCCCAGGCCCTCTTACCTGTCCCACGGGTCCCCTACTTGCTGGCTATTCCAGCTTGAAGTTTGCTAGCAAATACACATGCACACCCTAATGCACACCTGGTTTGGGGAAGATAGAGACACTTTGACCCCACAGCAGCCAGCACCAGGCAAACAGACTGTGACCCACAGTCCCGCTGCAGCCACTGGTGCTGAGCCCCTCACTTGTCTCACACCAGTCCTCCCAGTAGCTGGTTTTTGGGACACACACTGTTCCCGCCCCAGTGGCTGGTGGCAGAGACACTCACCTGCTCCAGTAGCTGGCACCGAGACCCTACTTGCTCCAGTAGCTGACACCACAGGCCTGGGGTGACTACACCCCTGG